CACAGTGCTCTCTGGATGTAGGTGAACTACAACCCCAAAACTCAAGGTCAATGCCCACCAAACCCGGTAGGCTGTTAGGAATTGTGGGAGTTCAAGTCCAAAATACCTGGATCACCTCACCCTATGGTTTCATGTAGACGTTGAAAAGCATGGGTAATAGAATTTAACCTTGCAACCAGGCCGGTATCCAGGAGGAGCTTGAGGGGCTTCAGAGTGGTTTGCAAGAAGGCCTTACTGGTACATTATTTAAACTGTTATGTTTATTCATATCATGATCTGATCACCATGCTCAATATATCCTATATGCATGGGGGTATTGGGATAATGATACAAAAGGTTTGCTAGGGTAGATCCTGAGCCCCCCCCCCAATCAAACTCAGCCCCCCCCAATTAAACTCACCCCCCCCCCAAATCAAAATCCTGGCTACGGGCCATCCCACAGTCAATGGCAAGGGGTCTGAGCAGGTGTCCCCTGGTATCACAGTGCCCCGAAGACCCATTCCAGAAAGCCAACACAGAAGTATACTATGGTTGATGGTATCGAAAGCTGCTGAGAGATACAAGAGAACCAGAAGGGAAACACTCCCTCTGTCTAATTCTCTGTGGAGGTCATCCACCAAGCCAACTAAAGTTGTTCTATTCTGTAACCAGGCCCAAAACCAGACTGTGAAGGATCAAGATAATCGGCTTCATTCAAGAAACCCTGGAGCTGAGAAGCCACCACTTGCTCTAGAACCTTGCATCAAAAAGGGAGATTAGAAATGGGCCGGTAGTTATTTAATACTGAGGAGTACAGGGACGGCTTCTGCAAGATTAGTCTTACTATTGCTTTTTTTGGCCTCTCTCTTTGATGTTACTCATCTCAGATATGGCCCTTTCCTCCTGTATGGATCATTTAGGATCGGGCATGGAAGTAGCAGCTAATAGTGAAAGGACCAAGGTAGTGACATCTCCAGCCCATCCCCTGTTTGGATATTAGCCAGCACGTCAACGACTTAAATCAAGAAATAGTTTTCTAAGATCTACAGAGACACTCGCTGGAACACCTCAGCAAGCGAGAGACCAAAAGTGGCAGGCTCAAACCCAGAACCTCAATCAATGGCTGATACCAATTGAGAGAATCCCCCCTGGGCACACAGAAAACTGGGCAACATGGAAGGCGCTGAACAGACTGCGCTCTGGCACCACGAGATTCAAAGCCAACCTTAAGAAATGGGGCTACAAAGTGGAATCCACGACATACGAGTGTGGAGAAGAGCAAACTACAGACCATCTGCTGCAATGCGACCTGAGCCCTGCCACATGCACAATGGAGGACCTTCTTATAGTAACATCAGTGGCCAGCTACTGGTCAAAGGACATTTAATCAACTAGCAAGCTTGCAAACTTTGTGTTTTGTTTGTGTGTGTGTGTGTGTGTGTTAAAAATGCAATACAACTGTTTGGTTTGCTCCTGACATGATAAATAAATAAAGGCCTGAACCAACTTGGGTCCTCCCTCTGGTAAGCTGTAAGGAATTGTAGGAATTGTAGGAGTTCGAGTCCAAAACACCTGGAGGGCCCACATTTGCCCATGACTGCCATAGAATCACAATGGAGAACCTAGAAATTCCTAGGTGTTCTAGCTCATGCATTACCCCACATTTATGCGTCCCCATTTTCCGTCTTTGAAATGTTGGCGGGTACACATAAGGGAACACATAGCCTAAGAGAGAAGAAGTTGATTTTAGAATGAGAAAATTCTGGATATAATATGGAAGCGCTTCCTTGCGTATGTGACTGGCTGGTACAAACAGCAGTGGCCCAAGTTCGTAAATGTTCTAACCGCTGCTCTGTTGTTCCTCGCTTGCCAGCACTACAACCTCCAGCTGCTTGGATCGAAGCCCAAGAGATTCTGCCGGGGAAGACGGTTCTCATGCAGGCACGCCAGGATTAGTATTATCTCTGCATTAATCTCCCACCGCAGAGCTGAAACAGCTGGGAGCTAGAGAGGAAAACCTTCTGGTGTCAAAAAATAGTCCCCTGCCTTCCGAAACCCCTCTCGCTTAAGCCACCGGAGCTTATTTCCAGTTCATAAAGTACGAGTTGCCCATTCAGAAGACTCTTTTTAGTAATCACTTAATGCGTGTGCTTTCGGGCACAGACATACACTGAACTCCCTCCTGGATTCCTCTCATTCATTGTAAAGGCCAGAGTGTTTTATCCATAGTGGCCAAGTCGTGAGCATACAGCGGCCTCATGTGGCACAACTGAGCACAACCACAACTGAGCATTTTTCAAAGAGGGCAAGGTCTTGCCTCCCATAAAGGCTTCTGCACAAAAGCCTTGGCTGATGATGTTTCATGGGCTTCCATCAAACAGCAGTTTCTCAGAGCTCAGTAGAGCGAACTGTCATCCCAAGGTCAATTATATTCATTGAAAGAACCTGCGTGAAAATGAGATTTGAGGATGGATTTTTATAATCTGATTCCAACCCAAATAAGTAATCTCGCCTGGCTATGACTTTGAAATGACTGTCATTTCCCTGCTGGCAACTAAAGTATTATACAGTCTCACATATGCGTAAGTCCAAATAATACTTTCATTATCTTTGGGAATTAGGATCCTAAAAGCGATGGCTTTGTTGGAAGCAGGAAATTACTCTTAGAGCTCCAGCAGGTAGATAACCCTGAAACATGTCTTTTATAATGTTTCTGTTGCTCATGATTGGAGAAACTCCTGGAAGTATTAAAAGTGTTGGTGGACCTCAAAACAGAAGTTGCAGATACTCTGAGCGCAGCAAGTTGGAATTCATGTCCAAATTCCAGCTTTCAGGAATGGCTTGATCAAATTTGAATTGAAAGGAAGACTTGCAGAGTGATGATTGGAAATTCAGTGTTTTTCTGTTTGTCCCAACTTTAATTTTGCGTGGTTCGGGCAGTTATCTAACAATACAACCTAGTTCTACATTTAATGGTCCACTTTTTCAACCACAGTTTTGAAGATTGCCTTCCACAGCCCCAGGCCCTTTTTTGCAAGAGCCTTCTTTTCTCCAAAAAGATTCCCCACAAACATGTATTCTTATAGTCAGCTCAGGAGTCCCACATTGGTATCCTACATCTCCTTGGAAATGAAGAAACTGGGAGTGTAGAGCAGAACGTTACAGTGCATTCTTCCCAACGTGCAAGGATCTAGCACCATATTTAGATATAATTGGTTCTTCCTGTCATGAATGCATGCCAGGAACCAGAACTTTGACTAACATTGGTGTAGAATACACCTGTAGTACTTTATCACTTTGTCCCATCAATGACAAGCATTACAATCTGGTTTGGGGGCTGGACATCTCTGGTGGCCTTAGTGACCTCCTCTAGGAAGTGGGCATGGAGAGTCTCTCTCTCTTTCTTGGTTCTCCTACAACTTGTTTGCTTTTCATTCCTTCAGCCATAGTGTTGTATGTCAGCCTATTCAGCCAGTGATTGTGTTTAATGTTCACGATGGGAATGGGGATGATGTTCTTAATGGTGGGCCTGGATCTGTTAGCAATAGGGACGAGCGTTTGCCTGGGCCTGAGTTAAGCTCAGACGAGAGGCCTGATCTGTCTCTGGAAGATTCACATGGTCACATTCTTGGGAGAGGCCCTTCACAGTCTCTGCATAAGGTTGTGGGTAAACTACAACTCACATTATGCCAGGTTAACCTCTAAAAACGCCATCAGTACATAAAGTTTGTTATGTTGGGCAAGTTTGCTTAGTGGAAGACCTTGAACTAGCCGCATGCCTTCAACCTCAGAAAAAGGCAAAAGCAACACCTTTGAATGAATACTGGCAAAACAAAACAAAATAAAACCCTTCCATGATAGATTTGCCTCAGTCACCATAGATTGGAAATGACTTGAAGGTACACAACAACTTAGATGACAAACTCTGGAAGGCAAATGAGCATTCCTATCTAGTGACAACCAAGGCTGGATCTACACTGCCATATAAAATCCAGATTAACTGCTTTGAACTGGATATATGGTAGTGTAGACTCCTACAAACCAGTTCAAAGCAGATGATGTGAATTATCTGGATTACCTGCTTTGAATTGCATTATATAACAGTGTACTCCTATAAACCAGTTCAAAGCAGATAGTGAATTATCTGTTTTGATTTTTTTTCCATACCAGGAGTGACTTGAGAAACTGTAAGTCACTTGTGGTGTGAGAGAATTGGCCGTCTTCAAGGATGTTGCCCAGATGACGCCCAGATGTTTCACCATCCTGTGGGAGGCTTCTCTCACGTCCCTGCATGGGTAGCTGAAGCTGTCAGACAGGAGCTCGCCCCATTTCCCGGATTCGAACCACTGACCTTTTGGTCAGCAGTTCAGCCGACACAAGGTTTTAACCCCATGGTTCTCAACCTGGGGTCCCCAGATGTTTTTGGCCTTCAACTCCCAGAAATCCTAACAGCTGGTAAACTGGCTGGGATTTCTGGGAGTTGTAGGCCAAAAACATCTGGGGACCACTGTTCTAGATACAGCAAGGACATTCCTGCTTGAAACGACACTCTCTCTTAAAGCCAACAGTTCCTGCCCGGTGTGCAGTAAAATGAGCCCAATACAACCAGGAGACTGTGTTCTTAAGAGGACAACGACTGCTGCTTGTACAGTCAGCATTAAGCCACTGCAGTGAATGCAAAGAATTTTTATGGGGCTGGGGAGTAGGTGGGTTAGTGTCTGTGGCTGGATGCTGGGGTTATTTTTGCATACAGCAGCTGCAATGCATGCAGAAGCAGAGTGGCACACAGCAAGTCAAAACTGCTGATGTAGTCATTCAACCCACTTCGTTCTATATCTGTTTGGGCCAGCAGAAGGGGTTTTTTTCAGTCTGAGAGCATTGTGGAAATGAAAATGAAGGAGAACCCCCCAATTTCTGGCAATTTGAAAACATTAAAACCTGGAAACTTGGCACTAAAGACTAAAAGGCAAGCAATGTCGATCAAGGATAGCGTAAAATGGTTGAAAGAAACACAGAGCTAAGATACTTCCATATTTATTTCAGTTTAACAAAGGTTTCCAACATGATTGCATAAAATGCTCAGCGCTAACATAGAAGAATCATGGTATGCAAAAAGTATTCAAAAAGACCAACGATGTCTAGAAAAACAAAACATATTAAAATACAGTATCCAAGGAATGTTTCACAATTTATATTTTGCAATACAAAAAAATAGTTGTCAAATAATTTAAAATATATTACTGCTATGGACCCCTTTTTTACTACTTGCAATGGTAAGCGATTTTTCAAAGACTGCATTTATTCAGTGAGTAAAAATACAGGTGCCATTGTCCCTTCCTTTAATGGAGCCTCAACAGGAAAGGGACAGGTGTATTAAATAAAGCCTCCTTTATCTTGAGGAGAAATTGCAGGAATACACAAAAATCCGTAAATGTGAAGGGTAGCAACAATCGGGCACCAGAATAGATATCGCCAGATTTTAAACAAGAACGGCCAACCAAAGATTTCACAAAATTTAGAGACATTTCTGGTGCTTCTATTAAATACACACATCATAAAATGCTGATATAATAAATATTTCATTTCAAAGATTTGGGAGCAGGGTGAGGAATCCTATTTGCCATACTGCTGGCCTTTTGCTTTAAGACTATATGCTCATTTTTCAGCTCAGTGAGAAATTGGTATAATAGGCCAGTTTAAGAACCGAAGAAATAGAATCTAGTTACCTGAAAAGGGCAAACACTTACAATTGTTTTGATATTTTGGTCTGCAGAAACAAAAACAAAATACTAAAAAGGACTGACATTAAAGATCCACTTTGATTTTTTTGGTAACGAACATTTCTCCATTCATGATGGCTTGTTTGCTGTTGCTAATTTATATAGCTCTTTTTGAAATGCATCATTCTTACATAAACAGATTGGACAAAATGCTGATTCTACGTTCTCAATCACATGGCACATGAGTGGGAAATGCCTCCCTATGGGGTGAACCTCCAGAATTGCAGAACGTAAAAGTATTCCAGTTCTAGGTTGTTCATGAAAAGGACTTGAAATCCCACCCAACTTTCATTACTTCTAGTCCAGAGACACCACGTGTAATTTTACTGAACTATTTCAGTTACATTACACATCCAAAGGCATGTACGCATGATCTTAATTTCTGCAGGAAACACTTCATGTAAGAAACTGAAACAAGCTAACTCCACGCAATACTTCAAAAGCAGAATATTGTCCTCTGAGAACTTTAAGCAAAAGCAGAAATAGTGGCAGCAACAAAGAAATCATGTGACGTCAGGATGCAGTGTGTTTTCTGGAAAGGCTACAAAGTGCTCAAGAATTCTTTGACCTGGAAAGAGAAAAGCATATGAATATTAGTTATATACTTACTGAACATGGTAAGATTATGATTAGTAAATATCACGTTCGAGGGAACTTCTGCATTAGTACATACTGAAAAATGATTGGCACGCTGTAAACCAGAGCACAATATAGACCAGGCATGGGCAAACTTGGGCCCTCCAGGTGTTGTGGACTTCAACTCTCACTTTCTGTTAGGAATTGTAGGATTTGAAGTCCAAAACACCTGGAGGCCCCAAGTTTGCCCATGCCTGGTATAGATTGAGCATCAGGTCATTCCATGCCAAGTGGTCTACACCTTCCCACCATCATGTTCTCCAATTTTGTTCAAATTGGAGTGCCAATCAGGTGTTAAACTAAGTTTCCCAAAAAATGAGGTCTCTAACTGCAATAGTTGCAATCTAGACTCCCTTATCTGAAGGGCTGAAGTTTGCCCAAGCCTGCCATATAGTGACTTCACTCTCTGGGCCAGTTCTGAGTTGGACTTGAACTCCCACAATTCCTAACAGTCTACCAGCTGTTGGAATTATGGCAGTTGAAGTCCAAAACACCTGGAGGGCCAAAATTTGTCCACACCTGCTATAGCAGCAATCCCTTGTATGTATATTGTATGTATGTATGTATGTATGTATGTGTGTGTGTGTGTGTGTGTGTGTGTGTATATATATATATATATATATATACACATCTTTTAAAAATAGTTTTTATTAAGGGTATTTTGAATATGGTATACATCGAGAGGATGTCAATCATCAACATAACTTATAAGCAAAATAAGACAATACCCAGAGGGGGGTAGGTTGGTAGGATTTGGGGTAAGAAGAGAAAGAGGAGAAAAAGAAAAGAAAAGAAAAAAGGGGAGGAATAGAGAAATGCAGGGGGGGGGGGAGAATGTGTGGGAGTTGCAGGATATGAAGGGGAGAGTTGGTGCTCTTATTTACTGATTTTACCCCAAGAGGTATTGTTAGTATTTGTAATTTCTTCTTCTCTTGTCTCTCACTTTATGTCAACTTGATATTGAAGTAGTTTTTGACCGGGGACCAGTCCGTCTTGTTTTCACCAGTCGTTTGTGTGTTCTTCAAATATTCTGTTAATACATCCATATTCATTATATCTAGGAGTTTAAGCATCCATTCTTCCACCGTTTGGATCTCTTTATTCTTCCATTTCTTGGCTGCTACTATCCTCGCCACCGTTGTTGCCATGTGGAAGAAGAGTTTGTCCTTATTCTTTTCAATTTCAAAGTCCAGAACACCCAATAGATAGTATTCCGCTTTCATCTCTTTTCTTATATCCAAAATCTTATTTGTTATTTCGTGAATCTCTTTTCAAATGTTCACCATAAATGGAAAAAGGTGCCCTTCTTTCTTTGACATTTCCAACACGGGTCAGGAACATTTTTATAACATTTTGCCAATTTACTGTGTGTGATGTACCACTGGTACATCATTTTGATCCAATTTTTCCTCAGATCATAAGAATGTATCCATTTTAATTTAGTCTTCCAGATCTTTTCCCATTCTGTTGTTCCAATTGTATGTCCTAGGTTTGCCGTCCATTTCGATATGCAATTTTTAGTTTGATTTTTCTCTGTCTTCCAGCATAAGAAGATTTTATACAATTTGGTGATCCCCTTTTTTCCCGTGAGCATAACCTTTTCCCAGTATTTATCTCCGGTCTCTAAACCTATATTTTGTCTTTGTTAAGTATGTATATATATCTCGTAAGCTGCTCTGAGTCCCCTTCGGGGTGAGAAGGGCAGCATAGAAATGCCGCAAATAAATAAATAATAAATAAAGGTGAGATAAAAATGAAATAAATAAAGCAGTGGTATAGCTCTATGGAAACATCCCAACACAGAATATCTTAAATACTAAAGCAGTCAGCCTAAAATTTTAAAAATGTCTTTTTGGCAGACTTTACCTTTTCGATCATGTTTTCATGCCTATCTTTGTTGCCTTTGAAATCTTCATTCACATCCAGTGTTAGAATTGGTAAGTCTTGCAAGTATTCAAAATCCATTCTGTAAAAAAAATATTGCTATTTTATCTGGGAACCACATATACAATGAAAGCATTATGCACAAAAATATAAGATTCTCTGAAGATAACACTGCAATCCTAATTTTTTTAACCAAGACAGATGGCTTGCTGTGTATTAATGAGATTCTGTCACAATTTCCCTGCTATATAACTCATATTAGTTAGGCTGTGGCGCAGCTGTCTGAGTGTCAGCTGCATTAAGATCACTTCCGACCACAAGGTCATGAGTTCGAAGCTAGCCCGGGTTGAAGTGAGCTTCTGACCAATTGTGTAGCTTGTTGTCGACCTTTGCAACCCGAAAGACAGTTGCATCTGTCAAGTAGGAAAATTAGGTACCACCTATGTGTAGGGAGGCTAATTTAACAAAATTTATAAGGCGATAAAAAAGACTCCAGCAAAGCACTCCAGCAAAAGCATGCGAGGAATGCGGAAGTACTTCATCAGTGTCGCAGATGGACGATGAAGGTGACAGCTCCCTGGCAGCCAGAAAAAGTTAAATAGCCTCTGACTGTTTGTCTATATCTGTTGTGTGTCTTTGGCATTGAATATTTGCCATATATGTGTACATTGTAATCCACCCAGAGTCCCCTGCAGGTGAGAAGGGCAGAATATAAACACTGTAAATAAATAAATAAATAAATAAATTTTTTTTTTTTACAAATAATTAATTTTACAATTAATTTCACATCTGTATTTTTGGAAATGTGCAGGAGCACGCATGGTAGAGCAGCTTGAGCATTGGACAATGACTCTGGAGAACTTGGTTCAAATCCTCACTCAGCCATGGAAGCCACTGAGCGACCCTGGGCAAGTCACACCCTCTCAGCCACAGAAACCAAAAGCAAACTCCCTGATAAAACACACCAAGAATATATTTTATTTACTTATTTATTTACCACATTTATATCCTGCCCTTCTCATCCCAAAGGGGACTCAGGGCAGTCTTACATCAGGCAGCAATTCAATGCCATACACATATATATCCATAAAATAAACAAATACAATTAAAATCCAAGCAGTTAAAACATCAATTAAAATCACACAATCTAATATACCATGACTACACCGCCTAGGGTAACCATAAATTTAAAAACAACTTAAAGACATAGCAACCAAGTCTCCAGTATGTCTAATATGTTATTTACTGAATCCGTTCTTATAGTTCTGAGCAGCGCATGCTACAAAATCTGATCCAACTTTTGAAGAAATCTGTGTGCCAAAAGCCACCTGTATTAAAGAACTAAAGAATCATGAAAAATAATGATGAAAAGACTATTGGTAAGACTGTTCACTAGAAACAAATAGCTGGGGAAAGATTACCGTAAAGTCCTATGTTGGAGCCAGCTCTCGTGTTTGTAATGAAGCTTTTCCAGGTATTCTATGGGAATGCCTTGTTCTTCATCCCTTCCACGCACATAAATCCTATTCAAGCATTTCTAAAATATTAAAGAAGATAGACAAGACTCTGATGTAAAATTTCTAGAAAGAACTGGAATACAGCAGTTTCAATAGTTCCTTAAAAACCATGATATATGATTGTGTGCATTGGTATAACTATAGACACCAGGAACAAAATACCTGTAGGCACAATGATGCGTTAGGTCAGGGGTAGGGAACCTTTGGCCCTCCAGCTGTGGTGGACTTCAACTCCCACAATTCCTTGAGGCTCGGCATTCGCCCCAAAGGCTTACCTTGGCCCAATGCCGAGCCTCAAGGAATTGTGGGAGTTGAAGTCCACCACAGCTGGAGGGCCAAAGGTTCCCTACCCCTGCGTTAGGTGGTCAGTGAAGAGAAAGCCGCTGCTATACTGACTCATGAGCTGCTTAGGATCTTGTGGGGCAGCTTTCTCTATATCTTTTTGCAAATTGTTCCTTGTAGCTATAAAAAGTACATCGTGCCAGGGTTATTGACAGTTACATCACTGCAAAGCACCCAATACTTTTATTGTTTATTGTTTTATGTACGGTTGATTTGTTTATTGTTTTATGTATGGTCGATTAGTATTGTTTTAAAATGTTGTGAGCTGCTTTGGATCTTGTTTAGGGTGAAACGCATAATAATAATAATAATAATAATAATAATAATATACAAATACAAAACAAAGTATGGATTGTTAATGTTGCAATCCCAGGTGGCAGCAGGATTGCAGAGAAACAACAGGAAAAGCTGACACAATATGAGAATTTAAAGATCGAACTGCAAAGACTCTGGCAAAGACTCAGTGTGGTGATCGGCACACTGGGTGCAGTGCCTAAAGACCTTGGCATGCACTTAAACACAATCAGTGCTGACAAGATTACCATCTGCCAGTTGCAGGCCACCTTACTGGGATCTGCATGCATTATTCGCCAATACATCACACAGTCCTAGACACTTGGGAAGTGTCTGACGTGTGATACAATACAACAGCCAGCAGAGTTTCTGCTGTGGACTCATCTTGTGGTGTCTCAAATAATAATAATAATAATAATAATGATAATACGGTGCCATAAAAGATATCAATATCAAACAGGCACCAGAAGCCTGAATCCTGCCCACAGTGTTTGATATTGGCTGTATTTTTTTATTTTTTTTTTTTGTGATGGTGGAACTCAGAGTTCTCCACCAACCTAATTCAATAACCAAACTCACTTCCAGCCAAATAGCAGGGAGGGGAAAGCACAGAAAAGTGTCCAGAGGTGTTCCTATAGCTAGCCACACAGCAGTAATGCCCTCCCATGAGGTTGGGAGAGGGCCATGCCATATCTACAGTTGCTAACACATAATATTATGTCTCCTTGGTCCAGAAGCTCTTTTTATTTTACCTCAGGAGTCGCTCGGAGATAAATAATGCCATCCAATTCAAGACGTGATCCAAACTGTTGGTTCATCCAGTTGTGCCAGTCTTGGTAAATAGTCCACTCCGTTTCATTCATACAGTCAGACTCATATAGATTAGATGCAAAAATGTATCTATCAAGAAAAAGAGTAATTCAGGATCAATAATGTTCCTGCTGACCAAAAGGTCAGCAGTTCAAAAACATGCAAATATGACAGATCAATAAGTACCGCTCCAGCAGTTAGGTGCTCCATGCAGTCGTGCAGGTCACGTGAACTTGGAGGCGTCTACGGACAATGCCAGCTCTTTGATTTAGAAATGGAGCTGAGCACCAGCCCTCAGAGTCGGACATGACTGGACTTAATGTCGAGGGGGAACCTTTACCTTTAATCTTTCTAAAATGTATGTAAAGCATATTAGCTGGAAGGAGAGAAATGATGAATGTGAAGGCTGATGTGAGTGTTTGGCTGTACCTAGATCTAGATTTTGGACTTCAACTCCCATAATTGGGAGTTGAAGTCCAAGTTGGGAGTTGAAATCCAGGGCAAGTGGAGGGAGGGCCGGGGTTGGCCTAGGCCTGGTCTTTATCCTTTGTACTAGTGATCTATCTTTCAGGGTGTGTTTTAGAGGCAGTCTTCTCATCCTGCTTCATTCTCCTTTGCTGAAATCCTTGGTAGTACACTTTCGGTGGCAGCCAAAGAAAGAGTAAAGCTATAAATGTTTCCTGTTTCCCCTCAATTGTTTCATTTTTTAAAAAAGATAATTAAAATTTCAAAACTGCATCATCATACAGTATAACATTAATAATAATAATAATATGATATTATAATTATATATATATATATTATATTACATGTAATATTACTAATAATATTACAATATAATTGTATAGTACAATATAGTGATGTATAGCGCTGATATTGTACTGTGCTCATGATATAATGTTGATATATATATATATATATATATATATATATATAACACTTGTAAGCTGCTCTGGGTGAGAAGGGTAGCGTATAAATGTCGCAAATAAATAAATAAATAAATAAATAAATGAGATTGGTAATATGCATGCTCTTGGATTCTAGGTCACTCCATAGGGTTGGACTTTGTCTATCCCTTGGATACAGTCTCTTTTTAAATAAGCAAAACAAACATTCAGGTTGAATACTCTGCAAAGAGGTCTGGGGCCACAGGAAATGAAGACAAAGCCGGTGTCAGTGCTTCAAATATAATTCCAGGAAAACCATCTCCTTATAAAATCTAGCTGTCTGCTCAACCCCTTACTCCTAGCAACTGCTTGGTGATCCGATAATAGCTCTTTAGAGGTTCCTTGGTTACATTTATATCAAACCTATCAGCGTTTGCTGCCTTCTGCAAAGGAAAAACAAAAACCAGCCCTGAAACAGAGTCAGCAATGCATGACTTTTGATATAAGCTTGTCTTGTTCCATGATGATTTTATAGATGGATACATCTCTCCTGCAGTCCATTCCAGTTTCTAAAAATCAATTCCAATTGTCTGCATACCAAAAAATGACATAAGTATTAGCAATGGAAGGAACTTGTTCCTACCTGTCACTGTAAACAGATCTCTCAAAAAAGACTACGGGGTTCTCAGATTCTTTGATCTTCCCCTCAAGAGATTTGAGCTGAGCCCGGATTCTGCTTAGACAGGCGTAGGACTGGAAAGTGAAAGACCATCTCTCTGGCTTCTCATACATCATTTGGAGTAAGTTGCCACCACACTTCTGAGAGGCTGAGAGCTCCTCCTGAAAAAAAAAAAAAACAAGCAGGACACACTTTACAGAGCGATACTTAAAACCTGCTAGACCAAAATTGGCATTATAGCTGATCAATTCAAACCTTTTCACTAGCATTTTAGTTTGGAAAAAGCACCAACGCAATAAGAAAACCATGAGTGCTAAAACACTGACTAATTATGTTTTTACTACTGAAAGCCTAATCATAGATATGAGAAATTAGAATGGGGATACAAAAGGCTACATACTGAACAAAACCAAGTAATATCAGGCATTTATAAATTGGTTCGCATCAACACCAAACTATGGGGTTTTTCTTTGTTTTGTTTTTTTGTCGTGTCAGAAGCGACTTGAGAAACTGCAAGTCGCTTCTGGTGTGAGAGAATTGACCGTCTGCAAGGACGTTGCCCAGGGGACGCCTGGATGTTTTGATGTTTTACCATCCTTGTGGGAGGCTTCTCTCATGTCCTCGCATGAGGAGCTGGAGCTGATAGAGGGAGCTCATCCACACTTTCCCTGGATTCGAACCTGCTCTAGACATTAAAAATTCACTCTGGAGACTTCAAATTCTTACTGTCTAAAACTTATTCCACAAGATTGAAATGAGCCTAAGAGTTTAAAAAAAAGGATGATAATTAGGAATTAGGAATTGAATGCTCTGCAACCGTTCTATGAGCAGCATATGAGTGCATTTGGATGTCTTGGCAAGCTGAAATTTAAGACCATTCTGTCATGTTGAGAACAAGCCATCATAGTGGTGCATAATAATTAATCTTGTGAAAATCACTGAATAGCATGTACTAGTCTGCTAACTGTGCATGCAGCTCTGGCTTACTGTAGTGTTCAAACCAGGCTAATATGTAAAATGATCTTAAAGAGAATAGCTCAGAGGAAAACATTACAGACAATTTGTGGCAACAGTAAAGTTGTTGTATGCAATACAAAACTGGATATACAGGATAAACAGCTCTTGAAATGCTAAAAGGCACTGAAAGACCTCAACAGTGAGGCGTCTGTCTCAGCATTATTCATGCTTTTGACCGCTAGAAAGCAGACTTGCTGCGCTGGCAATAAAAAAAGAGAAGCTGCTCTTTGAAATCAGCCTTGAAGGAAAAGGGGAAAGATTTTTAAGCATAATTAAAAACAGACCTTTTAAAAAGTCTTGAACATTCTTATATTTCGTGCAGGCCAATCTGTTAAATAATCATAAAACTTCTTCTGCACATCATTATGCAAATAAAGTAATCTTGCATAAAGTATCTGTTTCCATATTTATTTTTGCAGTTTTACTTCTGCATTTGCACTCTTTGCATGAGCAAAGGGAAACCAAGTTGTTTTATTTTTAATATAGAGATGCACGGAGAGTTGTAAGCAAATTAAGTTTCTGGGATGCGGGACATTAGGAATTCTCAGCATTGGAAGTCCTTCCCCTTTTACATAGTCACATTTCCTCCTACCTCACATTCATCCTGGCAGTTCTGAACATTGCACCATCTTGCTACCGGCTCTGGAACAACATCCCACTCTTCTCTGGCTTGTTTGAGAAGATTCACAAAGGTTGACTTCCCTGCAGCTGTGGGAAAAATCACTCAACTGATGAAACAGTTTAACTGTGGCACTCATACTCGCTAGAAAATGCCAGAGGCCAATATTTGAATGGAGACATGTTTGATGAGACAGCACTGGCAATGAAACCCATTTTTAACAGTCTGTAAATGAAATGTTTAAATACCTATACATAAAGATGTAACATTTTGGTAGCCTGTTTTGTCATTGTAAAATACATTTCCCAAGGGAATGAGAAGCAGGCATAAGAAGTGACCAAAAACATTTTTGTATGACTTCTCCCATACAGCTGGGTAGAAACCATACGCATTTAAGCCATGCATTTGTTCATATTCACCACAGTATAAGAAATGTATCTTGATCGATCCAAAAATCGTATGTCTCTATAGATTCTCTGCTTAAGTGATTATTTATGCTCACCTTTAAAAAAAATTTTTGTCGTGTCAGGAGCAACTTGAGAAACTGCAAGTCGCTTCTGGTGTGAGAGAATTGGCCATCTGCAAGGACGTTGCCCAGGGGACGCCTGGATGATTTGATGTTTTTATCATCCTTGTGGGAGGCTTCTCTCATGTCCCCGCATGAGCTGGAGCTGATAGAGGGAGCTCATCCGCCTCTCCCCGGATTCGAACCTGCGACCTGTCAGTCTTGATTCCTGCCGGCACAGGGGTTTAACCCACTGCGCCACCGGGGGATCCTTTAAAATGAGTCATAGTTTCAAATCACTTGACAAACAGGAAGTGTTTAAGTAACAGCCACTGGTGGTTTTACCTTAAATTTTTGTTTTAAGAATAGATTTCCTGTTAGACCAGGGGTCCTCAAACTTTTTAAACAGAGGGTCAGGTCACAGTCCCTCAAACTGTTGGAGGGCCAGATTATAATTTGAAGAAAAAAAACGAATGAATTTCTATGCACACTGCACATATTTTACTTGTACTGCAAAAAACATTTTAAAAGAATACAATAATTAAAATTAAGAACAATTTTAACAAATATAAACTTATTAGTATTTCAATGGAAAGTGTGGGCCTGCTTTTGGCTGATGAGATAGGATTGTTGTTGTTTTTGTGTCGTTTCAAGTAGTTTCAGACTTAGGTTGACCCTGAGCAAGGGCCGGGTAAATGGCCTTGGAGGGCCGCACTCGGCCCCTGGGCCTTAGTTTGAGGACCCCTGTGTTAGACTGTTAACAAGAAATATTATGAAGCTGTCAATAATGTAATATGTTCACTTTAAATAGTGAGTGTTGAGGTCAAAAAACACAGCAGTTTTAACTGTATAGTTTATATATTCCTCAATTTTATATCCACACTTTGCATAATTTCACAGGTACTGGGGAGCTTATCACATGTTGCCTATATGTGTCTGTATGCGCATGCACACATTAGTGTTGTCTGGATTTTCAAAACAGCAATAAGGGGCCAGTTGCAAATCATGGCAGTCAGGGTTGACAAACAGGAAGTAGCTATTAGTACGTTTACATTTCATCTAAATGTCAAACAATAGTGTTGATTTCAAGTTAACGTAGCCATGTATTTCTCCGCAAAATTATGTTGTCCACAAACATCTACTTCAGTGTTTCTCAACCTCTGGGTCCCCGGATATTTTGGCCTTCAACTCCCAGAAATCCTAACAGCTGGTAAACTGTCTACATGATGCACTTCTTTTTGTCATTATGAAAGACCTGCATCTCAAAATACAAGATTTTCTGGCATCACATTAAGTCTACATCCTTCAAACCCTAAAATAAGTGTGCATCCATTATAATGAGGACCATCTGCCAGCCTGATAAGTGAAAACATCCCTTATAATAGACAGCTGCTTACTCTCACACATACACTCTCTTTCTGTATGCACACATTCTGTCTTGGATGTATGTATGAGCTGGGACACTGTCACAGTCTGAGGTCCCTTTTACACAGCTGTATAAAATCCAGATTATCTCCTTTGAACTGGATTATATGGCAGTGTAGACTCAGGGCCCTTCCACACAACCATATAACCCAAATATCAAAGCAGAATATCAATATCTGCTTTGAACTGGTTTATCTGAGTCCACAATGCCTGTTCCAGTTCAAAGCAGAAAATGTGGGATTTTATTTATCTCCAGGACAGCAGAAAACAAACCTACTCCCTCCTCCCTACGACTTCTCCTCACACATTTATACAGGGCCCTCATCATGTCTCCTCTCAGCCTTCTCTTCTTCAGGCTAAAGATGCCCAGCTCCTTAAGCTGCTCCTCATAGGGCTTGTTCTCCAGACCCTTGATCATTTGAGTCAGCCTCCTCTGGACACATTCCAGCTTGTCAACATCTCTCTTGAATTGTGGTGCCCAGAATTGGACACAATATTCCAGATGTGGTCTAACCAAGGCGGAATAGAGCATGGGTAGCATGACTTCCCTAGATCTAGACACTATGCTTCTATTGATGAAGGTCAAAATCCCATTGGCTTTTTTTGCCGCCACATCACATTGTTGGCTCATGTTTAACTTGTTGTCCACAAGGACTCCAAGGTCAAGGGAAGATTCATGGTGCCTTTGTATTCTGCTTTGTATAGGCCTCTTCACCTGGAATACTGTGTCAAATTCTGGGCACCACAGTTTGAAAGAGAAATTGACTGTAAGCTGGAAGGTGTCTAGAGGAGGGCAACTGAAATGATCAAAGGTCTGGAAATCATGAATCCCTATGAGGAGTGACTTAAAGAACTGGGCATATTTGGCCTGTATGAAAAGGCTAAAAGGAGACATAGCGCCATATCTTTTTTCTCTCTCTCGAATGAAGCACAGAGTGTTTGAGGACCGGGACATCCGTAGGGATACCAAGGTGCTTGTTTATAAAGTTATTGTCCTCCCAACCCTGCAATATGCTTGCAAGACGTGGACTATCTACAGATGTCACATGCCACTCCTAGAACAATTCCATCAGCATTGCTTCTGAAAAATCCTGCAAATCACTTGGGAAGACAAGTGGACAAATGTCAGCGTGCTGGAAGAAGCGAAGACCATCAGCATTGAATCGATGGTCCTCCGCCATCAACTCCGCTGGACCGGCCACGTTGTCCAGATGCCTGACCACCGTTTCCCAAAGCAGCTCTACTCCAAACTCAAGAAACGAAAACAGAATGTTGGCGGGCGGAAAAAGAGATTGAAAGATGGGCTCAAAGCCAACCTTTAAAACTCTGGCATAGACACTGAGAACTGGGAAGCCCTGGCCCTTGAGCACTCCAGTTGGAAGTCAGCTGTGACCAGCAGTGCTGTAGAATTTGAAGAGGCACGAATGGAGGGCAAAAGAGAGAAACGAGCCAAGAGGAAGGCGCGTCAAGCCAACCCCGACCGGGACCGGTTTCCATCTGGAAACCAATGCCCTCACTATGGGAGAAGATGCAGATCAAGAATAGGGCTCCACAGTCACCTATGGACCCACCGCCAGTACACTGACCTTGGAAGACTATCCTACTTGGACAACGAGGGATCGCCTAAGAAAGGCCCTGCTCTCGATCCCGCTTTTTCGCAGGCATGTCTGGCGGGGACAAGAGACAGGGCCTTCTCTGTGGTGGCCCCTCGGCTGTGGAACTCCCTCCCTAGGAATATTAGATCAGCCCCCTCCCTCCTGACTTTCCAAAAGAGTAAAAACTTGGATCTTCAAGCAAGCATTTGGAACAGACAAACTAGAGTTGGAAATTGACCCAGGAACGGCCAAGAAAATGTAACAGATGAAGATTTGAACGAGAGGACATAGTTTCTTTTTAAATTGTTTATTATGCACTGTCGTTTACGTTTAATTTGCACTTGATGTTTTTGCTTTATTAATGTATGTATTTTGTTTCGGCATCGAATTGTGCGGCCTGAGTTGCCTTCGGGCTGAAATGGGCGGGATAGAAATAATGTAAATAATTAAATAATAAATAAGTATATAAATATGTGAGAGGATGTCACATGTTTTTCTGAATCCAAAGCAAGCAGCCTGTTGCCATTTTGTGAAACCCATTAGGTTTAGCAGTATGATGCAGTTTTACATTTTGCTGAACTGTACAGTGAGGTGGTGATAACACTTGAAGAACTAAAAGAGAGTCCTCTATACAACACTGAGACTTCTTCCCAGTCTGGACACCTTCTTTTAGCTGTTTTGAATGCTAAATTTGCAGTAACCTTACATATCCTAAGGAAGCTTCTGTCATCATTTCTTTAGCTTAGTAAAACATTACAAAGAGTAGATATGGACATTTTTGGTAGCCTACAACATGTTTCTTAGAAAAAGTCTGGGAGATGTGCACAGAATCTGTGAAAGAATTTGTGAAAGATCTTTGACACAGAAAGATCAGTGGTGGAGAAAAGGTAAGATTCCTCACATCTGTTCAAGGCAGACTTATAAAAACAACATGCAGGCAACTTCACCAACACCAATGGAATATTATAGGCTAAATGTGTACATTTCTTGACATTTTATTATTTATTATTTATTTCACAGTTTTGTATACCGAGCTTCTCAACCTCGTTGAGGGACTCAGCCCGGTTTACAGCCATAAAACATATACATTCATTAAAATATCATATATCACAAATTACAAAACAACTTTAAAAACACTAAATATAAAACTACAGTGGTCAGTCGTCCTAATAAGATGGATCTATATCCACTTCCATCCAGAGTCCTATGGTGTTGTCTCATTCCTCGAAGGCCTGACTCCACAGCCACGTCCACAGCCATTTTCTGCAGCCAGCTTCAAGAAAGGTTTACATGGTATAGGGAAGTAGTTCAGGAACTGCAAGTATTATTCTCTATTAATTGAGGTCATTGAAAATCCAACTTGAACAAGTGCATAGAACTTTACCTTGATGAGGGAGCAGGCTTGTTTTGAGACTGGGACTGAGAGCAATGGGTTCAAATTGCAGGAAAGGGGATTCCGCCTGAACGTTAGGAAGATCGAATGAGCTGTTCAGCAGTGGAACTCTCTGCCTCAAGAGTGTGATAGGAGCTCATCCCCTGGAAACTTTTAAACTGAGGCTGGATGGGGGTATTTTGATTGTGTGTTTCCTGAATGGCAGGAAGTTGGACTAGTGCATTATCAGGCCTGGGCAAAGCTTGGGCCCTCCAGGTGTTTTGGACTCCAACTCCCACAATTCCTAACAGCCGGTAGGCTGTTAGGAATTGTGGGAGTTAGGAGTCCAAAACACCTGGAGGGCCCAAGCTTTGCCCAGGCCTACATTGTAGAATATCAAATGCTCTGGCTCAATACTATGGCACCAACCTGCCTCTCGCTTACCTATATTGCCTTCAATGGCGATCTTCTTGATGCTCTTCTCCGCCCGGCTTCGTTTAGGTGGAGTCGCCATGGAAGAGGAACTCTTTTGGGAGAAACGGCGAGACTGAGGGGCCAAAAGAGTTCAAGTTCTGCTGCCGAGCGCGCGCGCCTCTTTCTTTTCCCCGGCGTTCGAATTTGGCGCGAAGTCGCTCGGGATTGGCTGCGGCCCGCTGTGACGTCACAGCATCAGCGACCAAAAGGCCCCGCCTCCTCGAGTGGAGCGAGGCCTTTCCCTCTTTGTTTTTTTTTTTCTCTCTCCTTCCCAGCTGTTTCAGCAATCAGCAACTTCCCCTACAGGTGCCTGAAAGGGTCAAAAAGTATTCGGTGAAACGCGATTCGCTTCTCTTTCTTTCTCTCTCTCTCGCGAGCCGGTCCGAGTCAGTGACCTGAGGAAAGGCGACGCAACGCCGGGTGAGGGAAGAAAGGAAGCTTAATCACATGCCGAGCAATGGATTGAGCAGGGCTAGGCGCGGGCAATCGGGCCCCGAGCGCATCGATTGGTTTGCTTCTGAACACACACTTGTATTCCTAATGGGACAGGTTATGATCCAGGTTTTATTTACCTGTCTGGACTCAGTTGCAATTGTGTCTTAAGCCTTGTAGTACTACATATTTTGTTTTTTTAGATGCAGGATCTATTTAACAGGTCTTCCAAGTAAAATTATGTATAGTCTCAGGAAATAATAATAGTCTTAAGTGTCAATAAGGGTTGAATGAAAAGTAATGCCTCCGCCTTCGTTACTTGGGTTTGGATGGGAATATTTTAATAAATCAAACGTAGAAATAATCCTTAGAACACTGTCAAATCCTTAGAACATATCAAATCATTTATTTCGGTCATTGACCAGCACAGAAAATAGTCACATTTTCATACAAACTTGGTATGTTTGGTACATTAAAAATATAAATATAACGACTGAAGCACAATATGGGTGAGGGAGCAGAAGGGAAGGGGAAACAGGGTTAAAACATGCTATAACAAGATCAACGATATCCTGGGCAGGGGGGCAAACAATCCCACCGCTGCCACCAGTATAACAAAGATCTACGTAAACCTTGGCAGGGTGGACAAGCAATCTCACATCTACCAGCAGTGTAAAGATGTTAACGTTCAGCTGGACACTACTTTAACAAAGATAAATGACTGTGACAAAGGGGGAAAGACTCTCTATTCCCTCCTCCGTAGTATTGTTGAGTGACCAACTGTATTAACGTTGTTAATGACCGATGTATTTGGTAAATTCGCCACCACCACCTCAATTATATATCTGAGGAAAACATGCGTGTGAATGTGAAATTGGTAAAGTTTATTCAAGCCTTTGGTCTTCTTCAATGACTGCTTCTCTTACTGACTGGACTGAAATAAAATTGTCTTTATGCTAGCTGAGATCTAAGGATTGTAATAGACCGAGGCAGACACCAGTTTAAAGTTGAAAATTAGAAACAGGTTTATTTAAACTTGGTGAACAAATCAACTCTTAAAAAGAGTGGTACAAAAGCGTAATGTGGTTACTGAGGCTTAGCTGGTTAGACAGGCAGCCTTTTTCCTTAAAGACTTTAACTTTTGTTCCCAGTGAGTTCCTTGCTTCACACTGTTCACTACACTGACACAGTGTGTCCCTGAGAACAGCCCACTGGTTGCCTCACAGAGCAAAATAGGCTTTCCTTCACTGACCCTTCTAAGTACAGTGACACAGGAACCTTTGCCTTCCCTATGCTCTAATCCTCAAGGCTCGCTACAAAAGTTCTCTCTCTCTGTCTAAATTCTTCTCAGCTCCCTCTCCCTAAAATACTTCTTCACTCTACGATGTTTAAAGCTCTTCTTCCCAGCTTGTCAAAAAGACACAGCCTTTTTCCCCTCTCAAACCTAACTCCTCCCCTGACTGCTCTAGCCAATCAGGAGTCGGCTGACTCCTCCCTCTTGCCTCTTAGCCCTCCTGCCTATCTCTCAACATGTCAGCTACTGACTTTCCAGGCCTCGGCCTTCCTGGCAAAAGGTTAGATTCATGACACATGCAATGCCCAGATGTAGCGACGAATGAAGAAGACAGGCAGTCCAGGAGGGTGAAGGTGATCTCGAAGTTTATTGACTAGCCAAGCTGTTTATATAACCTTCTTGTGCTCTTTGCAAAGCTTGCATAGTAACAGTGGGTTGGATAACGTAATTGCAGAGTAATTGGCTAGAGGTGAGCTCATCATAGGTGAGGTAGCCTACTGTACCAGTCCCAGGTCATGATGCCCTGCATACTTTGCCAAAATGGTGTGAAGCATAAGTGTCAGGGGTCTGGAATTTCTCATGCGCGTCCAGACTAGAATGGTTTGCCAGTAAAAGCCCAGAGGCGCATTGTCACTTCAATGGGACATAATAATGTCATCACTCCTTCATCTCCCCCTTTTTTGTTTTTTAACAATTTGTATGTATAAAGGACATCATGTCTAGGAGGGGCTTGTAGGGGCCGTGGCTGGTAAAGATGCCACAGGGATGGGATGTATTGAATGCAGCAGCAGCATATGATCAAACAGCCAGTCAACAGTAAAGCAATTTGAACTGTTTTTCTGATCTAGCCGACAGGAAGCCAGGTCATATATTAGGATATCACTTTGAGGCGGGGGGGGGAAGGTCAGCAGAGCGTGAGGCTAGCAAGAAGCTTATAACAATGGGATATATATCAAATGTAGCAGTAGCAGATTATTACATAAGCCATCAATAGTTGTGTAGAGTAAATAAATTGGATTATAAAAGTTTTACCAAGCAGGTACAGTGTTTTGCTTAATATGTTAAGCTAAGTCTTTAAAAAACAACATGCATAAATATTTTGTTGAAGTTATTTGTGAGATTTGAAACAACACATAGAATTGACTGGAGGGTGAATGGGATTTTGGAGGCCTTGGTGCCACGTCATCTTTCCACGGGCAAATGTAGCGAGCAGGAACCCAAAGCGCTTGATTTAAGAAGCCAATTACAGAGAATGTGTGATTAAACAATGTTGTCAAAAAGCAAGTCGTGTTTGTTAAAGTCCATAGGTTTATGACAGCTGAAGCAGGAACTCAAATCGGCCCGTCACAGCAGTATTTTGACTTCAGGCGATGAGGGGAGTTGGGCCTTCTCACTCCGGATCTGGCAACCTGTATCAAGGGAGGAGGAGGGGGTAGGGAGAGGGACATGCTTCTGGATCCTGGTAACGAAAGAAGAATCAGATAAAATTAAATTCAAATGATTAATGGTAAATAACACATATAGGAAGGCCATTGCTGGAAAGCTGTTGGAAAGCTGTTGGAAAGCGAAAGCAAAAGAGCAGGGAAGAGGCCAGGGGGCTGACTCCCCCTTTTGGTTTGTGTGTGAGAAGAAGCAGATGGTTTGTAGAGGTATGATTTGAARGCTCAGCAATRTRGTTTTGTGTGGCCATCGTAGGGAATGTTAAAGATGTGGGCAGAATATTGTGAACTTAGCATTGTAATATAAGGTATGTTGTAGCAGAGATGTTTATGAATGTAAAGGTATATATAAAAAAAATGGTTGAGAACATGTGTATTGGGTTTGGATAGAGAGTTTGTAGAATAGATCTACTGGTTATTATAGATATATGTATAGAATGTCATGTGTTTTGTTTTTTGTCATGGAAAGTAGTGAGGAAAATTAGGCAAATAGTGTAAGTGGTTGTAGTTGAAATGACCATTGTAGTTAGGAGTTTATTATGATTTAGATGTGTAGGGATGGCTTGGAGACAGAACCAAAACTGTCTGTAATGAAGCAGATTAACTGAACATCTTAAGAAAACTGAGTGTGTTAAACCCAGGTCAATAGTGGGAAGCCATGTTTAACCCCTAGCATTGGGATGGTATGATTTTAAAAACTTTGGAACTGGCACAGAGTTATAAAAAGAAAAAAGCAGCTTTAAGCTCTTTTTTAGGTTTAGGTAGCAATGTGGGTGGAGTCTAGAAAGAATAGACTCGAACAAGGTAGAAAATGTATTATAATCTTTAGGGAATGTATTTTGAGCAATGTTATGGGTAAGTGGTTTTTAATTTGTTGAAATATATGTGGATGAGTGTGACAATGATCAACAGTAGACCCGTTGGAAAACTTTAGTAATTGTGTAATGAGAAATGGGTAATAGGTTTTGTAGTATGAGGATGAAAAGGCATGATTTTCATAGGGCTGTGTTTTGTTGAAGAGCAAGGATTTTGATAGTCATTAATCAATCAATCAATGATTTATTATGGTCTTTGACCAGCACAGTATAAAATGGGCATCGGTGTGTAAGGAAGGGAATTGTAGTTTTTAAGTAGATCAGGCATAGAGACAGAATGAAAGCACATTTAAAACATCTTATAATATCTTATAAAAGAGACAAATTAAAAGAATAAAACAGAGTAACCAAGCATAAATCAAAAGGTAAACAATCATGAATCAAAAAGTCATTTTAACAGAAACAGGATAGGGGAAGTGTTTGTGTGTGTGTAATCAGAGTTTAGAGCCTAGCCGTGGCTGGGACGGCTTATCTCTCGCTTGTGGAATGTATGTCCCCCCTTCTCTTGGGGTAGCGTGCCTGTCAGCTTGAGTCTCTCTCGCAGAGGGGAGAGATTTCTTGATGGATTTTAGTGTGTAAGGTAGAGATATAATGTGTGAATAAAGCAATAAATGTTTGGTTTTGAGTATTGTTTTATTAACGTTTTTATGAAATAGGTATTTTAAACCTTTGGCTGAGATGTGGGTAACGAATAGGGGTGTGTGTTTGTAGTGTGGTAGATTTAATAAACTAATCTTAAAATGAACTAAGCAAGAATGTTTAAAGTGTAATATGATTAATAACATAGCAAGATATGTTATCATGTAAGCATGTGTTGTCAACCAATGTTTTGTAAGAAGTGTGTTTTTGTGGAGCTGATTCATCTGTAAGCATCAGATGAAAGGCATAGCCTTTAGGTGTGATTAAAATTCAAGATTGTATAAGTTGAATGTAATTTGAGTCTTATATATAATTGACCCTTTGAAATGAAAGGGACTTGAAGTTGTGTGTGTCAAGTTTGGTTTAATTTTATTGTTGGTGGAGTTTAGAATGTGTTTTTTGATTGTGAACTATGAATCTCAGGAACTATAACTCTTGATTTTGAAATCAACACCAACTCTATCAGTATTTAAATTGTTGTGTATAGGTATTTGTGTCAAATTAGGTCAAGTAAATGAAAATCTATTTTATATATCAGACATGTATATCACAATTTATGACAGTAGCAAACTTATGGCTATGAAACAGTAATAACAACGAGCAAAATTATAACTATGAAACAATAATAGTCAATGAAAATAATCTTAAACAATTTTTTAGTTGAGGGTCAATATAACACAAAGAACTGTCTGAAAGAGCCGTAGCATGAGGAAGGTTGGGAATCACTAT